TGGTTCTATTCTGATTCCCTCCCGGACAACTGAACTCCTCACCCTATCTCTAAGGGAGAGTCCAGCTACCCTGTGTAGAAAACTCAGTTCAACTGCCTGTATTCGCTATCTCATTCTTTCAGTCACTACCCAGAGTTCATAACCATAGGTGAGGATAGGAATGTAGACTGACCGGTAAACAAAGAGCTTTGCCTTACAGCTCACCTCCATCTTCACCACAACAAACTGGTACAGAGTCCAGAATACTGCAGACACTGCACCAATCTGTCTTTCAACCTCACATTCCATTCTTCCCTCACTCGAGAACAAAACCCTGAGGTACTTGAACTCCTCCACTTGAGGCAGAAACTCACCCTCAACCCGAAGAGAGCAATCCACTCGTTTCCGACTGAGGACCATGGCCTCAGATTTGGAGATGCTTATTTTCATTCTAGCTGCTTAACACTCGGCTGTGAACCGCTCCAGTGAGAGCTGAAGATCATGGCACAATGATGCCAACAAGACCACATCATCTGAAAAGAGCAAAGATGGAATCCTGAGGCCACCGGACTGGAATCCCTCTGGCCCCTGGCTACACTGAGTAATTATGTGCATAAAAGTAATGAACAGAATCAGTGACAACAGGCAGCGCTGGTGGAGTCCAACTACCACCCTGAAGGGGTCCTACTTACTACCGGCAATGTGAACTATACTCTAGCATCGTTTGTATAGGGACCAAACAGCCCATAGCAATGGGCCACCAATCCCATACTCACGGAGCCCCCCCCCCCCCCCCCCCCCCCCCCCCCCCCCCCCCCCCCACACACACACACACAGGGTACCTCGAGGAACACAGTCAAAAGCCTTCTCTAATTCAATTAAATTCAGTTTATTTATATAGCGCCAAATCACAACAAAGTTGTCTCAAGGCACTTTACAACTTTACAGAAACATTCACATACATAAAAGCCAATTAGTAAAGTTCTCTATCTAAGGAATCCAGCAGACAAGTTGAATCTTAGCTTCATTGCAGTCTCCCATCCTGAGCAAGCACAGTCTACAAAACACATGTTCACTGGATGGACACACTCTTGTGACCCCTTGAGTACCCTAGTGAGGGTAAAGAGCTTGTCTAGTGTTCCACAGCCAGGATGGAACCCACATTGTTCCTCTAGGATCTGAGGTTCGACCAGCGATCGGACTTGCTTCTCTAGTACTCCCAAATAGACTTTACCAGGGAGGCTAAGGGGAGTGATGTCCCTGTAATTGGAACACACCCTCCAGTCACCTTTTTTGAAGAAGGGTCTGCCAGTCCAGTGGCACCCCCCCCCCCCCCCCCATTTCCATGCAATGTTGCAAAGGTGTGACAACCAAGACAGCCCCACAACACCCAGAGCTGGAAATCAGGGTGAAGCTCATCCACCCCAGGAGCCCTGGCACTGTGGAACTTTCTCAGCGACCTCAGCTATGGTTATGGACAGAACAACCCCAAAGTCTCCCAACTCAGCTTCCTCCATGGAAGACGTGCTGGTGGGATTGAGAAAGTCTGAGACGTGTTCCTTCCACTTCCCGACGACATCACTAGATGAGGTCAACAGCAACCCACCTTCACTGAACACAGTGTTAGTAATAAGTTGCTTTCCCCTCCTCAGCTGACTGATGGTTTGCCAGAATTTCCTTGGAACTGACTGAGAGTCTCTATCCCAGGCCTAACTGAACTATTTCCATGTCTGAGCTTATGTCTCAGCAACAGCCAAGGCTATGGACCACTTGGCCCTCCGGTACTCCTCAGCTGCCTTCAGAGTCCCACCAGCCAATAAGGACCTATAGGACTCCTTCTTCAGCTTGACAGCCTCTCTAACCTGGGGTGTCCACCACCGAGTTCTGGGATGGCCACCGCAAGAAATACTGACAACCTTTTGGCCACAGCTCAAGGCAGCCACTTCAACAAGTGAGGCACGGAACATGGTCCACTCAGACTCAATGTCCCCCACCTCAGTTGGGATGCAGTTAAAGCTCTCCCGGAGGTGTGAGTTGAAGATCTTTCTGATGGGTTCTTCTGCCAGGCGTTCATAGCAAACTTACTACATGTTTGGGTCTACCGGGTCTGTCCGGCATCTTCACCCGCCATCTGATCCAACTCACTACCAGGTGGTGATCAGTTGACAGCTCAGCTCCTCTCTTCACCCAAGTGTCCAAAACAAATGGCCACAAATCAGATGACACGACTACAAAGTCAATCAGCGATCTACGACTTACTAAGTCCTGGTGCCAAGTGCACTTATGGACACCCTTATGTTCGAACATGGTGTTTGTGATGAACAAACTATGACTAGCACAGAAGTCCAACAAAAAAACATCGCTCAGGTTCAGATCAGAGAGGCCGTTCCTCCCAAATCACACTCCTCCAGGTCACACTGTTGTTACCCATGTGGGCATTAAAGTCCCCCAGCATAATAAAGGAGTCCCCAGCTGGCGCACCTTCCAGCACCCCCGCCAAGGACTCCAAGAAGGCCGGATA